CTCTGCTTCCAAGGATGAGAATGTGAAGCTGACTCCTCCTCGCCTTGTATGTCTTTATGTGCCAAAATTATGCCCTTAAATCTTGCTTATTTTAGTTGAGAACCCTGATATCTACTTAATTCATGGTTTAAGTGCATTTAGACACCAAGATGTCCAGCAATGAGTTGCGGGGTTCATCATTTGATAAGACATAGTTAGGAGTTTATGGGCATGTTTGTTTCACATTTAAAAGTTACATATTTTTGTTTAAAAAAATTTACAAAGAAATTTTTTATAAAAGGTTCAAAGAATATTTGGTTTGAATAGACATCCTTAATTTTATTTTAGGTATTTCATCATTTTATTGAACTTTTTTTGTGATATCAAAATTTCAAAAATAACTTAATTTTGAAGCTATTTCAAATAGCTTATCATAAAAGTCAATTTTGAGATACAACTTTTTGAAAAAATTGCGATTTTGACTAAGTTTTCATCTTCAATAATGTATGTTTACGCTTTAGGATGTCAAAATTAGTCTTTTAATGTATAAAAAAGAATTAATTTCTTTTTAAATATTTTGAAAAAAAAAAGGTTTTTATAAAAATCATTTTGAAATATAAAGAAAAAATTTATTTTTTAAAACTAAAACAAGCAGGCCCTATATGCCCTGATATTTACAATTTTTTTTATTAACTTAAAACAAAACTAGGGTGAGTGGATAATATCTGCCTAAAACAAGGAAAACTTGGCTCAGTGACACCTGTATGTACATTATTTTACGATATTGCATCTATCTCTATATAACAGATGCTTTTAAAATCTCAGATCGAATAGTGAAAGTTTTTGAAGTTCCTGTTTGTTTAATTATTTGAATAGTGATCTGTAGCATAAAACATGGTTTTCAAATAGGAAACTCAATAAAGCATAGATGAATTTCATTGATATTAACGGGTGAAATAGAAAATTATCTATATTTTCAATATGTTCTTTGTAACTCTGCATATCTAGCAAATTTTATGTACTAGACCTGGCATCATTTTGTGGCTGTGTGAAGTAATTTGTATGTGACTGGAATGTAGTTAGCAGACAAGCCTAATATGATAACTGTTCTTGAGCCTGATATGCTAGCCTATATGCCCTGATATTTACAATTTTTTTTATTAACTTAAAACAAAACTAGGGTGAGTGGATAATATCTGCCTAAAACAAGGAAAACTTGGCTCAGTGACACCTGTATGTACATTATTTTACGATATTGCATCTATCTCTATATAACAGATGCTTTTAAAATCTCAGATCGAATAGTGAAAGTTTTTGATGTTCCTGTTTGTTTAATTATTTGAATAGTGATCTGTAGCATAAAACATGGTTTTCAAATAGGAAACTCAATGAAGCATAGATGAATTTCATTGATATTAACGGGTGAAATAGAAAATTATCTATATTTTCAATATGTTCTTTGTAACTCTGCATTTCTAGCAAATTTTATGTACTAGACCTGGCATCATTTTGTGGCTGTGTGAAGTAATTTGTATGTGACCGGAATGTAGTTAGCAGACAAGCCTAATATGATAACTGTTCTTGAGCCTGATATGCTAACTTGTACCTAATGATTTCTGGTTGCAGATGACACTTGAAGAAGCTATAGGATATGTAGCTTCAGATGAGCTTATCGAGGTATGTTTTAATCTAGAATTTAAAATGCTGTAAAAAGTTTTATCTGATTTTTGTGATGAAAGTATGTAAGGGTGCTTCTTCCCCAACCCACCTCCACTCAATGCCCAGTACCCACTAAAGGCTTATGACTAAATCCTGAATTGGTTCTTCAAATATCACGTTGTCATGTTTATCCTCTAACGATTTTTGTCATCATATTGTCGCCCAATGATTTTTGTGACGGAAATATAAAAAAGAAAAAGAAAGAAACATATACAATCTTAATCTGATTGAATACTGCTATTAGTATTATCATATTATTTGATTGTGACATTTTTTTGCATGAAGGTTACTCCAAAGACCATCCGGTTACGGAAGAAATACCTTGATGCTAATAAGCGTAAAACCATGAGTAAAAAGCCAAAGGAATGAGGAGGATAAAAGGCAAAGAAGCACGAGGAGTTTTTCCTCGATTAAATTTTGTAACATTAATTTATTCAGCATATAGTACGAGCAAAAGCTTTCATCTCCAGGTTCTAACTTAAATTCAAGTACTGTACTACAGCACCGTAGAAAGAAATATTCTTTGATAGTGATAAATAAAGCAACTCAAATTTGTATTTCGACGAAATGATTAAAGATTACCTATTGCCGGTAACAAGTTACTCATCGTTGTGTAATATTTACAACTGAATTCATGTAAAAGGCTTGAGCCTCCATTTGGTCTAAAGAAGTGGATGGATATATATTGCTCCTATAACCTATTGGTCATTCATGTTTGGCGTCATAAGAAAAGGCTCGAGCCTCCATTTTGTTTGAAAACTGCATTGACTGTTCTTAATACAAGTTGAACACGTGGTCTATTAATAGTATATTTTCTTACAACATGTTTGTTGGAAATAATTTTTTATTTAAAACTAGTACTATTAGTATTAAATCAAACACAAATTGTTTGTTTTTTTATTAAAAAGAAGTTAATCGTGTATTTTGATTTTTTTTTTTATAAAAAAAATCAAAATTACAATGATAGTAATGCTGATTTTATAACATGAGCAGACACAAATAATTACACTATTTTTTAATAATTTTCAAAAGTATGCGCTTTATTTATTTTTTTATTATTATTATTATTATTATTATTATTATTATTATTATTATTATTATTATTTTACTTATGGAACATTAATTGACGAAACCATGCAAGCTCTGTTTAGCATGCAAAATTTAAAATTTCAGGCTCCCAATGGGTTTCATTCTATTTTTCTAGAGTGTAATATTATTGTTCAAATCTTTAAATGTACTCACTGCAACCTCATTTATAATAAAAAAACTTCTAAATTTTTTGGCCTTATCTTGAGTAAATGCAATAAATCTATATGTTATTTTATAATTATCTCTGCATTAATTATTTAATTTTGTTAGTGGATGACAATTTAATTGAGGGTATACTAATTATATTATCTCTCTTATAATGAAATTAAGAAAATTAAATACACTTAATTATATTTTTTAATAAGTGTTACACCTGTCTTTCTTTTTTTTTTATAAAGGTTGAAATAGTATTAGAGTTTGACCTAATTTAATTTTATAAAATTAAGAAAAATATTATTATGTATAATTTTTTAAAAAATTATATGTCAAATTAATGTGGGACTTGAACTATTTCCAATACATCCCTCACGCCAACACTCTCGTAGATTCAAACAGTGGACAACATATAGTTCGATCAATATGCTTTGTTATTATATTAGAATTTGACCTAATTCATTCTTACAAATCAACATGTAAGATGAGAGGTCTCATTCTATATAAAATTTTTAATATTCTATCTTTAATCAATGTGAAATTTGAAATGTTATAGAGTCGATCGTGGTTTGACAAAGAGATTTGGAAGAGATTATATATAGTGATACCATTCACCTTACATGTTGGTTTCGTAAAAATGAATTATGTCAAACTCTAATATGATATAAAAGTCTATCGATCAGACCATGAGCCGCCCACCGTTTATATCCATGTACCAAATTCAAAAAAAAATTGTTGGCATGAGAGAGGGTATTGAAAAAATTTCAAACTCCACGTTAATTAAAGATAGAACAATAAAATAATTTATATAAATAATTTATATAAAATGAAACCCTTTATCTTACAATTTGATTTTAAAACGATAATTTTTAAAAAATAGTTTATGTTTAAATTATCTTCAAAAATAAAATCACCATCTTCTGAGACAAAACCATTCATCGCATGTCTCAAGCTTCTTCAAATCAAGTTAAAGATATATTTACAAAAGATTTAAAGTTGAGTTTTTTTTCCTCTTGATTGGAAACTTAGATTGATTAACCTCTATTCCAATTAGAGAGGTAGTTGTTTCAAAGTAAAAGAAAGTTAGAGGGGTAGTTACTTTAATTTGTTGTGGTAGTTACTCTTTTCTCTTCTTTGTCTCCAAATTAGTTACTTTTGTATATAGTTTTGAAGTTTAATTTCCATTAAAAAAAATACAAATGAGCAATAGCTGACTTTAATCTTGTCATATATTGAGAGTATCTAATGTTGAACACTATAGAGGACAAAAATGGCAAGTGATTGATGTCAATGATGTGGGCTGCAAAACAGATCCAGGTTCCTCGACATAACTCTCTCAGCAAGGTAATGGTTAACTCAATTAATGGACTGAAACACCGAAACATGAAAAGCAAGATACCATTTATATGACAGGTACACGAAATGCTTGCCCATTCTGTCCCCTAATACTCATGTTTACTGTGCAAAAATTAAATGATGATCCAATCAAAATAACTATATAGTAAAATTTGTTAACCAAAAAAAAACTTTATGGTAAAGCATATACTACTTTGATATCATATTAAAAAATATAATTACTTTTAAATCAATTGTAGAAAATTAATTTGTAGAATAAAAATTATCCTGTTTATAAATCCACGTTGAATCATATATTTTTCCGATGTAAAAGTACATTCTAATCGGGGCCTTCAATTTCTATTGGTTGAACTAGTTTTATAGAAACAAATATTAAACTTGGGTTTTATTTTTGAAATAAATAAATATTTTCAATGTAGGGAAAGGTGGAAAAAGTAAAATGCAGACAAGTAAACCCAACCATGTTGCATTTCTTTTATAATTTTTCCATTTCATTTCTTTTATAATTTTTCCATTTCATTTCTTTGAATACTTCTCTCCCTCCTCTCTTTATCTTTCTCCAAACAACAACAAGAACAACAATGTCTCTCTCTATCTCAAATTCTCAAACTTGAAAACCATTCATTTCCCAAACCCTTCCTTCAAATCCCTAATCTTCATTCACCCATCCATTTCTATTTCAATCCTCACACAATATTAAACAAATGGGTGCGTACAGAGCCGACGACGACTACGATTATCTATTCAAGGTCGTTCTCATCGGTGACTCCGGCGTCGGTAAATCCAATCTCTTGTCACGATTCACAAAAAACGAATTCAGTTTGGAATCCAAATCCACCATTGGCGTTGAATTCGCTACACGTAGTATCCATGTTGATGATAAGATTGTAAAAGCACAAATTTGGGATACCGCAGGACAAGAAAGGTTGCATTTTTGCCTTCGCTATGATCACTTTTTTTTGTTGATTTCTTTTTTTGGTTTGTGTTTGTGCTTTGTATGGACCGATTTTAGTATTTTCTGTTGTTGTTTTTGATCTGGATGATTAGGACACCGGAAAATTAAGCTTTGTGAGACATTGTTGCTGTATTATTTGTTTATGGCATATTTTATTTGAAGCATGAACAGACAAGGTTGGGAAATTGATGATTTCTTATGTAAAATGGTGAATAGATAGATTTAAGGCTTTTTGTTACCAGGGTTTCTGGGGGAGGGGACGCATTATATTCATATCATAGAACAATTCTTTAGGTGAATTGCTCAAGAGTTGATGAAGGTTTAGGGTATATCTCTTTGTGTGAAATAATTGGTGACTTTGATTCATGTTTATTTCTTCTAGTTCCGTTGGTTTTTGTAGAATCTTCTGTCAATTTTCCTTTTGTTTTCTAAGTAATACGCTGCTCCGAAAATAATCTGGTTTGATAGATTTCGTTATGCACGTCAGACACTTTTACCTTGAATGAAATGAGGCAGAGCTATGAGTCTGTGACCAGTAAATTAACTCTAAAATGTGAATAGGTTTCGAGTTTCTGATAAATGCTTGACAAAGTTAGAGTGTTGGCTCTGTGTGCAGTGTAGTGTGGGATTAGGAGGGTTATTTGTTCTATTTAGGTGTGATTTAATGTGATACTTGGGTTTGGTTTCATTTGACTTTGACAATGATTGGTATTTTCATGGACACACATGGTACAACACACTTTGCACTTATTTAGACCCATGGTACATCAGAGTAGTCAATCCTAGATAGCGACACGGAGCGGCCGACCCCAAAAATGGGATTGAGGGATAGCGTATTGTGGGATAGCCGCTATTTGTTCAATTTTTATACAAATTACATGAACAATAATTATAAACATATGAAGTGCAGAGAGTGAGGGTTGAGTTTCAACTCAAATTTGATTGAAAAAACCAAAGTTACACTTAAAACATTTTAAATTTAAGGGGTAATTTCGGTTTTTCAAAGGAGAAAAGGATGGTAGGACAGAAACCGCTCCGCCCTCACTACCCGCTATTTACCTTATAGCGTCCCTATAGTGTTCTGCACCGTTAAGACTTCCCAGTGTGGCCGGCCTCCTCTCCGCTTTGCTATGGCGGGATAATGCTACTATTGACTACTCTGAGGTACATCATGTATTTCTCGTGTCTCCAAAGACATTAGAATTGAAGCTATACATTCAAGCTTCTAGTTACCGCATGGTGGCGGTGACCCAGGGTTTTCAAATAACAGCTATAGCAATATTGCAAATCGGAATTTGAACAAATCACTATTATTCTCCGACACTATTCAGTACAAAGTGATGTTAAATATAGCTAGAGCGTAGCAGAATTTGAATAAACCCTCGTTTTTTTGGCAATTCGCGATTGACAAACGTAGTGGGTGACTCACTGGTCGCTCAAACATGCACTTTATTAGTTGAAAGAAGGTATTTGCAATGGTTGAGGGACTAACTTGGTATTTTGAATGACAACTTTTGACGATTGTATTTGGGAAAATTAATATAGGAGTTTTTTTCCCTGTTGTATTTTGTATTCCATTGTTCTGTATATATCCATCTCATCCTTGTTAATTTTTATTTCCACAGATATCGTGCGATCACAAGCGCATATTATCGAGGTGCTGTTGGTGCATTGCTTGTGTATGATGTTACAAGACATGTAACTTTTGAAAATGTGCAAAGATGGTTAAAGGAACTTCGTGACCACACAGATGCCAACATTGTAATTATGCTTGTGGGGAACAAGGCTGATCTTCGTCACCTGCGTGCTGTGTCCGTCGAGGATGCTAAAGCATTTGCTGAAAGAGAAAACACGTTTTTTATGGAGACGTCTGCCCTTGAGTCATTGAATGTCGATAACTCCTTCACAGAAGTGCTTACTCAAATATATCGAGTCGTTAGTAGAAAGACTCTTGAGATTGGGGACGACCCTGCCGCCTTGCCAAAAGGGCAAACAATCAATGTTGGCAGTAGAGATGATGTCTCAGCTGTTAAAAAAGTTGGATGCTGTTCCGCGTAGTTTGACAGATAATAGAAAGGATCGTCTTCACAACCAACGGTATATTATTTATCTGTGCATGAATCAACCAACCCTCAAACATTTTGAGATTCATGTAAAATGTTTTAATACCTAAGCCTTTTCTTTTTTCTACATGCTTTGTTGAGTTCATTATTGTCGATTTTTTTACCAAGTGTTGTTTGGTCATAGGGATTATATGATTTTATCTTTAGATATACAAAATTTCTGTTTGTATTGAATGAAAAGGATATTCTGTTCTTAGATTGTTCAATCCTGAATTTGTAGTGTACAAATATATTACACATTGACAAACATTATACTTGTACTACTAATAATAATCACACAAGAAAGTATAAATAGCAGAAAAGCTTTATTAAAAAAGTCCATGTGACAACATTAAAGCTGAGTGAACAAACAGAGAAATTATTCCTTTAAACTAGAATGCAGTTCATTGTAAAACAATCTAACATCAATAGTAGTGTGCTTTATAGTGTTGCTGCTACTGCTAATGTTACATGTATTTATTAGCTTTGGTCAAATGCAAATTGTTCCCTGTAAAATTATACAAAAGAAAAACTTCCTGCAATAGCTTTTACTCTGAAGCAGATTCATCTTGCTGCTGAGTGGCGGAACTAAATAGAAGTTTGCGAGTAATATTGTTCCTCATTTCTTCGTCGTGATACTTGCGAGAGCGGGGTGCTCGCACCATGTCTTCAGAAGCAGGAGCAAAAGGGTCAAAGATACCGAGGTTAGGTGTTTGAGGGTCCCAATTGTGTTTGTTTGAATCAATGTGGATCCCATTCAGCTGTTTCCTAATCACTGCCATTGCCAGAAGTGACTCTGCTTCCAAGTCCCCACTCTCTTTTTCCTTAGCTTTTGGAGAAGAAACATCATCAACAGCAGCATTCACTTCCACTGCTTCTCGTTTTTCTTTGCACTGATCCATTTGAAGCGAGTTCAGCTACACACATACACCACTTGTAAAGTTAGATTCAATCATTCGCAAAATTTCATTTTTCACATTATATTGAAGTAAAGAAAGAAAAGAAAACCCTACCCCTTCATACATACTCAACTCATTAGGGCCGGCGTAATTTTACCTCCCGACATTGTTGTCAACCAATCGTGACATTGTTGTCAACCAACCGTGAACGACAAAATATAAAAGTTTGTTTAAATCACTACGGACATCAATGGTATAGCGTCATTATTTCTCAATATTTTGTACTACATAACGCATAACAATAGGGCCTTATTTTGCCATGGTATATAATTATAGCAAAACTATCCTCACTATTTAACAACATTACCCCATAACATATAAACAAATTATATCTTATAAAATTTCTTTACAGCGAGATCTGAATCTGTAGATCTGAACCACTAGATATCTCAGTATTAAATAGTGAACATGTTTACGAGATTTCTTCAATTTAAATTTCTATAGAGATTTTATAGTGAGATCTAAACCACTAGATATCTCAATATTAAATGGTGAACATGTTTATGAGATTTCCTCAATTTAAATTTCTACAGAGATGATATTCGTTACACAAAAATAGATCTGACCAAATGGAAAAAAAAAATCACAAAGTATATATATCATATTGATGCGGCATAATTGAATGATGAAGTTTTTTACCAAATTCATTTTAGTGAAATTTACACCAAGAAGATCTGATCCGATTCGATCCAATAACACTAGCAATAATAATAATAATATATTTTTCTAAGGCAAAAACTATTGCAAAATGCCAAAAACATTAAAAGAGTGAAGTACAAGAACCTGAGGTGAATGGATTTGCGACATAAAGAAATATGACAGTCAAAGTCAAGGACACCTTTACACCAATACTCGCGCCGCCGCCACTAAGCGCCAACAAGAAAAAAGAGAGAGACACAATGCGCCAAAAAAACCCTTCTTCGTATTTATATGTCATTTTTATCACATATTTTCGTCATACATTTTATCAATTCCACGTCATCCGTACGTGTTTTTTTTCTTTTAGATAAGTACATGTTTCTTTTTAATAAATTTGGGAATATTCTATATCTCCATCTTAAATATTACTAGAATAATTTCATATTTATTTTCAAAATTTCTAATTTGTGTTCAATGTGTAAATATCTTTTTCATAAAATCTTATTCGTAAAGTTGTCTTTCATATACTTTGAAAGTAGAATTGTCTCAAGTTTTTTGAAATTATGTGTAAATTAGTCACATTTTGGCCATAAAAAAAAAATAGAGATTCTATTTACCTATGTTTTAATTGTGATAAATATTTTATGAGACTTTTTTAAACATTAGTTTACACATGCCAAATTATTGACCATGTACAGTAGTCTTGCATACCCTTAGTGACACCCTAATTCGAAAGGAACTTTAGAACCAATATTATATTTACTAAATATTCTACATTAAGTAAGAGATTAAATAATTATTGTACTCTTCACTTTACTAATTCTAGAAAACAAAGTTGGTAGTTTTAGTAGTAAATTAAAGTTTTTCATGAAGATAACATTACATTTCAAAGTACACTTCAATAAGAACAATTTTTTACTTTGTTACATAAATATACATAAAGGGTTGATAGTTCACACTTTACACTACAATGGCCGTTTATTTTATTAGTCTCTAATGATTTTGACTCTCCTCTATTTATATATCTGTTATGGATTGGGTTTGGGAATAACCCACCGTTGAGCACAGTCAAGTCCAGCTCCGCGTCGAAGGAGACTCAACGCAAAGGCCCAATCCATTATAGTTGTTGGAGAGCACATTCCCCACGTGTTCCTCACCCGAGGATACGTGGCCAACTGATCCCATGTATCTCGCTGAAACGTTTTTTCCTTCGTAACGGGCAAGTCTTCCACTTTCCGGGGAACGTGGACCAGTTAACCTAGGATGATGAGCACAAGCTGCTCATCCCTACATAAGAATCCTGACAGTCATCCAATATAGGCCTGAGCACTTAGCCCACAATAGAGACAGTTGGCCTAGCGCTGAGGACTGTCTATAAATACCCTCCTCTAAAGGAGGGTCAGGTATCTAATTCAATTCTATGTTTTACTGTACTTTCCTTCTTGCAGGTACACCCTCCTTTTTTTCTTACCTGACGTTGGATACCACGACGTGTTATTGGTCACCGATTTACTTCTGATCACAAGTAAGATCAGAGACACCGTCTGTGGGAATCTTGCTTCCCCATCTTTCCTTCCCTTAAAATCGAAAGATCAAAGCAAAATCCTCAAAACCTACAAATCATGACCGACCAACATGATGAAACCGCCTTCGCTCCCCTCCATGACGCCGAAAATGACAACGATATGCCGATTCAGGAGGATATCACTCAAAAAAAAAGAGACAGACAAAAAAAAAAGAGACGGACAAACCGTTTCCCCTTTCTCCGACGGGGCAGTCGATGATGATGTCCAGTATGTTGGGACCAGGAAAGTCCCAAAGGCTCTAGAGAAGATGCCGAAGAAGTTCTAACCAATCCCAATGTTGGTCAACACGGACCCGACCATAGAAGCCCTGGTCGCGGCCCTTAACTAGACCAACGCATTGATCTATCGGCAGAACAAGAGGATCAGAGCGTTGGAGAAAGAGCGCCACCCACGCTCTTCCCCATGGAGACACCTAGGATACGAGTATCGCAACCCATTGCAACAACGACCGGGACGTCAACCACAATTGGAGAGGCCACAACCCCTGAAGCGCAACCACACTCCTCCCTGCATGGACCGTTTCTCCCCGATTGTCAAGAAGGACAAGGTCGGAGGATGGCCAAACAACCGTCAGTCACCCCCGTGAAAACCTAAAAGCCGCGACCAAATTTTTTTTCGTTGCGCTATGATGACATTCCCCGACAGGAAATGTACGAATACTCTCCTCCACACTCACCGCTCAGGAGTGACGAAGATGACCCCCGCAGTCCACTATCTTGAGAGATCATGGACGACCCACTTCTGATCGGGCTAGAAAAACCCCGAACCTAGGGACATATAATGGAACGACAGATCTCGACGAATACCTCGAGAACATCGATGCACTACTCAACTACCGCAGCATTAAAGGCGCCATCAAGTGCAGGTTGTTTCCCACGACCTTGAGGAAAGGTTCCATGACATGGTACAAAAGCCTCGCTGAAGAGTCCATCACTTCTTGGAAGGACCTATGAAGGCAGTTCTCGAGGCACTTCACTGCCTCCCGTCACCATCCAAAGTCCGAGGCGACGCTCGAGGAAATCATACAAGGGAAGGATGAGCCCCTCCGATCCTACATCGAGAGGTTCAACCGCAAATCCGTCTAAGTCTCCACGACCCACGACATGAAGAAATACCTGCTCAAGTGAGGACTGGGCCCCCGCAGTAACTTCACCAAAGTTGTTGGCATCGAAACACCTGCATCACTAGATGCTCTCCTCCTCAAGGCCCGTGCTTACATCCAGTACGAGGAGAAAGATACCTCCAACAGTGCCTGAGACTTGAGGCACCAAGAAAACTCTAGGGTTTTGAGGCATGACAACGTGGCACCCCACGGAGGAGGAGAGAATAGTAACTAGGGCAAGCCCCGCGACTCGAGGGATTTCAAGGGACCGGCTGGCCGCTTTGCCGACTACACGACGCTGACCGCCTCCCACAAACGCATTATGTCCGAGTACGCCAACGCAAAATTTCGCAAGGTCGGAGTCCATTTTCCCAGACAGACACCTGTCAAGCCCAGCGCGGACAAGACCAAATACTTCCGGTTCCACAAGAGCCACGGGCATGTGTCTGAAGAGTGCACCCACTTAAAGGATGCAATTGAAATCCTCATCAGATATGGACACTTGAAACAATACACCAAGAGAAGAGAGGCTCCTATACAGAATGCCCGAGAAGCAAAAAGGGTCAAGGAGGAAGAGATACCCTCAGACGCCGCTGCCAGCCTACAAGTCGCCATGTCGATCTCTTGGTCCGAGGACTTCTACGTCCCCGATGAGGCCGAAAACCCCCTA